ATTCACCCACAGTGCCACACCAGGACTCCTTTTATAAGGGTTAAATACCAGTAGGGTATACCTATGGTGGACAGGTTTCTGCTGAGCTTCTAAACTAAAATAGACTTGGAAGAAGGCGAGGCAGACTACTTCTGAATGTTTAACCACCAAAACCTTATGAATATCAGTGGAACTGTCAGATAGCACCAGAATACCTGAATATTGAAATATGATGAATTGCACCAGAATACTCTCAGATACTGTGCCAGAGATGAGTCCCTCAGGATTGAAGGCACAAAATATGACTGGGGAAAAGCTGCCTCCTCACAGAAGAGCTGATTGTGATGATGTGAGTGGAGTAAAGCTGATCGGGCACAACTCAAAATAAGAAACAGCTGCAAACATCCATTAAAAATTGGAACATGGAAAGTACAAAGTATGAATCTACTAAAATTGGAAGTTGTCAAAAATGAAATGCAACACATAAATATGTATATATTATAGGCATTAGTGAGCTGAAATGGACTGGTATTGTCATTTTGAATCTGACAATCATATGGTTTTCTATGCTGGGAATGACAAATTGAAGAGGAGTGGCAAAATTATCATGAAAAATTTTTTTCAAGAGTTATCTTGAATTATAATGCCATTTATGATTGGATAATATCCATATGCCTTCCAGGTATCCTGGTATGATGCTGTAGGATAAATACTGGAATGCTAACTGCAAGGTTGGTGGTCCAAACCCACCAGGTTCTCCTTATAAACCCTATATAGCATTGCTGAGCCAGAACCTGCTTGGTAGCACTTAACAAGGAGGATCGGTTAATACCACTATTATTCAGATTTATACCCCAACTAATAAATCCACTGATGGAATTTAAAAAATTCTTCCAACTTCATCAGTCTGAAATTGATCAAAAAGCAATAAAGATATTTTTGATAATTACTGTTGATCAGAAGGCAAACATTGGAAACAAAGAGGATTGGTAATTGGAAAACATGGCCTTGGTGCTAGAAGAGATCCTGGAGATCATGTGCTAGAATTTTGCAAGACTAGTGACTTGTTAATTGCAAATACCTTTATTAAACAACATAAAAGACCAGTATACACATGGACCTCACCAGATGGCATATACAAAAATTATACTGACTCCATCTGTGGAGCTCTGATAGCGTAGTGGTTACGAGTCAGATTGCAAACCTCAAGGTCAGCAGTTTGAAACTACCAGCTGTTCCATGGGAGAAAGATGAGGCTTTTTGCTCCTGTAAAGATTTACACCTTGGAAACCCTGTACAGGGTCGCTATGAGTCGGAACTGACTCCACAGCACATAACAACAACATCTGTGGAAAGAGATGGTGGCAAAGCTTCATATCATCAGCCAAAACCAGGCCAGGGGTAGACTGTGAAACAGACCATCAGTTGCTGAGATGCAAATTTAGGCTGAAGCTGAAAAAAATTAAAAGAAGTCTACAAGAGCCAAAATTTGACCTTGAAAACATGACATTAATTTAGAAATCATATGAAGAACAGATTTGATGCATTAGATAGAAGAGTTATGGGATGACATCAACAAGAATATCATACAGGAAGAAGGCAAAATGTCATTAATAAGACAAGAAGGAAAACACCAAAATGAATATCAGAAGAGACTTCAAAACTTGCTCTCCCATATAGAGATGCTAAAGCAAATGGAAGAAATGAGGACGTAAAAGAGCTGAACAGAAATTTTTAAAGGGCAGCTCAAGAAAACAAAATCAAGTACTTCTTGAAATGTGGAAAGATCTGAAGTTAGAAAACCAAGCTGGAAGAACTGAAGAAAAAATTCAATCCTCAACTTACAATACTGAAGGATTCTATGGGGAAAATCTTGAATGATGCATAAAACATCAAAAGAAGATCAAAGGAATAGAGTCATGGTACCAAAAAGAAATGAATGTTCAACCATTTCAAGAGATAGCGTAAGATCAAAAGTCAATGGTTTATCTAATCTGTCTAGGGGGGGGGGGCTGATGAAATGAAATGCAGATAGGTCTTTTGTGATACAATAGTGAATAATTGTTATGTTATGAAGTGTCTACCTTTACAAATTGTGAGGGTTGGAAATGTAAAGGTAGATGTTTTATAGCAAGGAGGGGAGTGATTAACTTTTCAGTCTAGGAATGGACCGTCAGCCGATAAGAGCAGAGAGCAAGACCCCACCCAGAGAGGTAGTGAAGCCAGAGATGGAGGCAGACGATGATGTGGAGAGATGGAGCAGCTGGGGATTTTAGATCCAGAGAGGGAGCAGGGCTGTGCACTGATGACCGGGGTGCAGGCTTGTAGTGTATACCCTTTGGTTGGTTGATGATGCATGGAGGGAATTGTAACCATGGCAATGAAACGATATACAATAGAATGAATGTAAAACTAATGTTCTCCCATGTAAACTATCACATAATTCACAATGAAACATTAAAATAAAAAAAGTCAATTGTTTAGAAGAAAGAAGTCCAAGGTGCACCGAAGGCACTGGCAAAAAACAAGGCTCTGGGAACTAATGCAATACAAATTGAAATTTTTTAACAAACTTATGTAGCACTGGAGGCACTCACTCATGGATACCAAGAAATTTGGAAGACAGCTATCTGGATGATTGATTGAGATTCACATTTAAACCCATTCTAAAGAGAGGTGACCCAATGAAATGTGGAAATCATTGGTTAGTATTATTAATATCAAAAAGAAGTAAAATTTTGCTAAAAGTAATTTAAAAATGGCTTCAACAGTACACTTACAGGGAAGTGCCAGAGGTTCAAGCAACATGTAGACAAGGATGTGGAATGAGTATTATCATTGCTGACATCATATGGATCACAGCTGAAAGCACAGACTACCAGAAAGATGTTTACCTGTGCTCTAGTGACTGTGCTGAGTCTTTTGATTGCGTGGCTCATAACAAGCTATGGATATTGTGGAGAATTATTCCAGAACACTTAATTGTGCTCATGAGGAACTTGTGCATAGATCAAGAGGCAGTTGTTCAAACAGAACAAGGGGACATTGAATGGTTTAAAATTAGCTAAGTTATGTGCCAGGGTTGTATTCTTTCACTATACTTATTCAGTCTGCACACTGAACAAGAAACTAGATTATATGAAACTTGTGGCATCAGGATTGGAGGAAGACTCATTAACAACCTGCAATACGCAGATGATACAATCTTGCTTGCTGAAAGTGAAGAGGACTTAAAATACTGATGAAGATCAAAGACCTGATATGGGTTGCACCTCAATGTATAGAAATAAAAATCCTCACCACTGAACCAATAATTGGAGAAAAGATTGTAGTTGTCTAAGACTTCATTTGCTTGGATTCACTATCAGCACCCATGGAAGCAGTCTAGAAATCAAATGACATAGTGCATTAGCAAATCTGCCACACAGACCTCTTTAAAGCATTCAAGAGCAGAGATGTCAGTTTGATGAGTAAGCTGCACCTGACCCAAGACATGGCATTTTCAATAGCTTCATGGTGGTGGTGTTGTCGGTTTTGACTCATAGCAACCCTGTATAGGGTTTCCGAGGCTGTAAATCTTCACGGGAGCAGAAAGCCTCTTCTCTGTGGGACCGCTGGTAGTTTCAAAATGCTGACCATAAGGTTAGCAGCCCGACTCAACCACTATGCTACCAGATGTCAAAATTGAACAGTGGATAAACAGTGAATAAACAGTGAATAATTGATGTATTGGAGTTATGGTGTTGGTGAAGGTTGCCAGAACAAGTGTGTTGGAAATACAATTCTCCTTAGAAGACTTAAGTCTCTCAAACTTCAGTCATAGTTATCAGGAGGAATCAATCATTGAAGGACATCATGGTTGGTAAAATGGAGTGTCAGCAAAAAAGAGTCAGATCCCAAAGATGGATTGGCAGTGGCAGCAATGGGCTCAAGCTGAACAAATGTGAAATGGTGCAGGGAGCAAGCAATGGGTTTCTATTGTGTTGGAAACGACTCAGTAGCATCTAACACCAATAGGTTGTGTTGGGTTGCTAACTGCAGTCAACTGGTTCAAACCCACAATCCCCTCTGCAGGTGGCAGGCTGTGTCCTCCTATGCAGATTTACAAACTGAGAAACCATATATAGGGTCCCTGAGTGGGGTTTGACTCAATGGCAGTGGATTAACATTCCATTGTATATACATACCATAGTTTATCCATTCATCCACCGACAAGCACTTGTTTCTTTTTGCTATTGTGAACAATGATGTCATCAAATGAGTGTGAACATTATGTTTGTGTCAATGTTCTTTAGGTCATATTTCTAGTAGTGGGATTGCTGAATCATTTTTCCAACTTTTAAAGGAAACATCAGACTGTTTTCCAGTGATTAGAAAACAGTGCTACTAGCAGGGGATGAGTTCTACTTCCTCCACATTTGTTCTTTTCTGTTTTATTTAACTTTGCTATTACTAGTTGGGTGAGATTATCTTATTTTTTAATATACTTTCTAATAGCTAATGATTGCGAACATTTCATGTCTGTTGGCTGTCTAAATGTATTTGGTAAAGTGTCTCTTCATGTCTTGTTTATTTTTAAAGTGGATTATCTTTTTGTTGCTGAGGAGCTGAGGTTTTCTCCACCTACCCATCCAGATTCATTTCTAACAGTACAGCTAAATCCCTGACATGTGAAAGCATGACTGAACCTTTTGTTTAGTCACAATTCAGCTAGACAATATATTTTAGTGCTTGTTTAATAAGTAATCCACCACTTGAAGTTTAGAAATCTTTTCTATAGCAATTTTTGTGATACTTGTTGACATGTCTAATAGTACATTTATGAAGGAAATAAAACAAGAAACTCTAATATACATTTCCAAAGTTTTGCAGATTATTAACTAATTAGGAAAAGACAAAATACTGCAGTTATTTTGCAAAGACTACCTTTAAATGGAAGACCAAGTGAATTCCACTCAGGAAGAAATACTCAAATAGAATTTTATTTACAATCCACTTACTTTTTAAGCTATCAAGCTTTATTACTTAAACTGCTTTTTCTTCGTATATACATTTAGAGAGCCTTTGGGAAATAGATTAAAAGTTTTTGACTTCTTCAACTGGTTGATGAACTCTTGAGAATGCTGAGAAATCTCCATATACCCAGTATGCTTTCTCCTGGGAACAAACTTCAGAGCCTCTTCCCAACTACCAGTGTTTTTTAGACATAACAAAATGCGCATCATTTGGTCTAAGGTGAGATTTTTGTTACCAGTTTCCCACTGTAAATATTTATCTAATGGAAGGCATTCTGTTGCCAGCTTCAGCCGTTTTGCATTGGCTAGGGATGTGCCTGGCTGCATACTCTTATCAACAAAAGAGCCAATTATATAAATCTTGTCATGCTTAAAAGTAGTCATAACATTGGGAGAATCTGCAGTTAAATAGACAATATTGTCCTTAGGAAATATATCTACATGAGATTTCTCTGTGGATGTTAAAAGCAATTTGTCCCATCTTTCTCTATACCGTTTAACTAACTCTCTATGGTAATCACCGTCTGTTTTAAGATTGCAGAAATAAATGTGGAAAGGATCAACATTTCTTCTGTTGTATCCTTCACTTTCTAAAAGCTGAGAAACAGTATTCTGAAGTTCTTTTGGTTTCATGCAGTTATCATAAGCCATGTCAAAAACTAAGGGTTGTCCAAACTGCATGGCCTGTGCACCCTTCCAGCCCATTGCATTGTCCATACTCCTATCCCACAGCCGTAGAAACAGAAAGTTTTGCTGTTTATCTTCCTCGGTGGTTTCTAGCAGCTTTTCTTTTTTTGCTTCTTCCTTTGCTGCTGCCTTCATTTCCTTTTTTATTTGTTTAGCTTTTTTCATTTTTTCCTTAACGTATAAATATTTTAAATATTTCCTTTTTGATGATTTAGAAGCACTTTCCATAAGAGTTTTGAGATCTTCTTCACTGACATGTTCTGGTACTTCTCTTCCAAGCAATCTCCACATCTCAATTAATTCTCTTGTGGCAGCTAGCGGGTCATTGTCCTTGCTGCTTGAGACTTCTGAAACACCTTCTTGCACACTAGATTTCATTGTAATTTTCCATCCATCCAATTCCAGTGGTTCATGAGATGATGTACTCTCTTTATTAGGAGAGGACACAGCTGGTATTTTGGAAGATATGTATCTCTTTAGAATTGTTGAATAGAAATCTCTTCTCTTCTTATGAAGGGTAAATGGCACCAATATCCTAGCAAAAGGTCTTAAGGTGAAGCTAACACTCATTTTGAGAAAAACAGGCATACAATAACAATCCTGTAAAAGAACAAAAAGCAATGAAGAGTTAGATAAAGATTTACAACAAAACAAAACCTAATAACTATACAAATCCAAATTTGAAATTCCAAAATGTAATTGATATCTAAAATGCAAAGTGGGAAGTTGGTACAAGTATTTTAAATTTGAGTTCCTATTTTAGACATGAAGTCTGCTTTAGGCAGATGGACACCTTGATTTACCTTTCTAGATTTGTATCTAGGACCCAAGAGGATCATTGTTACTTAATGACAAAGTTATATACCATTGTCGCATGAGATCATGATGCTATATTTGTGCCCATTTTATACTAAGCTTAGCTACAGACTTAAAATACAAGACCCATCACACACAAAAAAAGAAAAGCTGGAAACTGGTGAAAAAACACTTGAGGGGTACTATACCAATTTAATGTACATAGTGATCTACTGATTAAAAATTCTTAATGTGGCTCTGTAAAGAGCTCTGATGGTGTAGTGGTTGCATATCGTGCTGCTAACCACAAGGTCAGCAGTTTCAAACTACCAGCTGTTTCATGAGAGAAAGATGAGGCTTTTTGCTCCTGTAAAGATTTACACCTTGGAAACCCTATTCAGGGTTGCTATGAGTTGGAACTAACTCCTTGGCACACCATCATGGATAAGCACTGGGCTGCTAATCACAAGATTGGACATTTGAACCTATCAGCTGCTCTTTGGAAACCCTATGTTGTTGTTAAGTGCTGTCGAGTCAGTTCCAACCCATAGCAACCCTGTCTAGGGTTTCTGAGGAACAGCTGGTAAGCTTGAACCAGTGACCTTGCAGTTCAAACTGACTTTACAGACCAGCCCATTAGTCCCCAGCACCACACCAGGCTTCTGGAAACCCTATACAGTTGGAACAGACTCGGACTCGATAGGACTTAATGACACTGATTAAAAGAAAATCAAATAAAACTCTTCTCCAGTTCAATCTTTATTTTCAGAAAATGTTGTCATACAAAATGTCCAAAATCAGGAGAAATACATACAAAATGTCCAAAATCAAAGAGTTAGTTAGAAAAAATCCATTATCATTTAGTTTAATTTTTCCACGAACTTTTTGAAGTCCCTTAGTATAAAACATCACAACTTTATTTTTAAATGTATGTTCACAATATAATGAAGTTGATTAGAGAAGCAAAACCAAGTGTCAAAACTGAAGCAAAAAAAGAAAAGAAAAAAGGAATTCAAATTTTTACAAACACCAACACATGAAAAGAAAAATTGTCTTTCCTTAGCTTTATTTGATGGCAGTGCTCCTAAGTCTTGTACCTCTCTGACCACTTAGTCTCCTGAATGCCTGTGCACAGGTGACCAGATGTCTACCTCTTAAAGACAAATGTGCCTGAGTTCTGTCCTTAGTCATTCTTTTCAGTCTACACAATTTCCTGATCTGCTTTCCCTGGCTTTAAAAACCATGCATCAGACACCTCAAATGCAAGTATTAACTCTCTCCCTTCCCTCCCCAGCCCGCTCATCTTTCTCTGTACTCTGTTTCTGGGAAGGCCACTATCAGTTTAGTTGCCAAAACCAGAAAATGACAACTATTTCATTGTTGTTTTCTTCCAGTCACCATACCAGATCCATTTACATTATATTCATTTACTCTCTAAATACTTCATGAATCCATTCACTTCAATCTCCTAGTCTCCAGATTTGGCGTTCTCTTCATCTCCATTGTAGCAAGTGCAAATCTGATCCATGGTACTCAAACAGCTTTCAATGTGTAGTTCTACCAGGTTAAAGTACTTATTAATGCTGTTATCCCTTGTTTATTTTTGTCACTGAATCTCAGCTATGCTTCACCTTATACATTTGAGCAAGTATTCCTATTAGTGGTCATAGTACCAGTACCTCTCTGTCATAGTAGGAGGGGTCTTCCAAAAAGCTCATGGAAAGATTCTATTGTCTTTTAATTCCACTTTCCCGCAAACTTTCTGAAGACCCCTTGTATTTATACTGTTTACTTGTTTGCCCCATTTGATGGTATGCTCCATTAGGATAAGGGCTGTGTCTACATTAACACCGAAAAGACAATGTTTGGCAGTATTTGGTTCACAACAGTCACCTACTTTTTTCTTTTTAATTTTGAAAAACAAAACAAAACTTAGACCACCTTTAAGGAAAAAAAAATCTGTTTTACTTTCAAATCCTGACAATACTTAACCAGGGGTCCTCACCCCCAATCTGAGAAACATTGATTTCAGAAACAGAAATCTAACAAATTTTGTCTTATAGCTGGCTCAAGATTTTTAGAATATCATAGAAGTGGAAAAAAAACAACAAAAAAAAGAATCATGAACATCACTTTGTGGAACACTGTTCTTGCTCCGGTATTGTATCAAAATCAACTACTATAGAAGCCATTCAGGAACTCTGGTAGCATAGTGGTTACGAATCGGGCTGCGAACCTTAAGGTCAGCGGTTCGAAACTACCAGCTGCTCCGCGGGAGAAAGATGAGGCTTTCTACTCCCATAAAGATTTACACCCTCGGAAACCCTATATATGGTCGCTATGGGTCGGAACCGACTCGATGGCACATAACAACAACAACATAGAAGCCATTCAGTCTCATGGCGATCTCATGTGTTTTAAAATAGAACTGTACTTCAAAAGGATTTTTAGTGGCTCATTTTTTTGAAAGTAGATCCCCAGGCTTTTCTTCCAAGGTATCACTGGATGAACTCGAACGTCCCAACTTTTCGGTACAATAACCGTTTGCATCACTCTTTCTCTTATCTTTGGGCCTGAGCGCATGCTAAGTATAAGGAGCCCTTTTACGAGTAGGGCTTCTAACTGCTAAGAGTTGCTAAGCTGCTAACCTTAAGATCAGCAGTTTGAATCCACCAGTCGCTCCGCGGGAGAAAGGCAAGGCTTAATGCTCCGATAAGGACTTTGTCTCGGAAACCCTACGTAGGGTCACAATGAGTCGGAAACGACTCAACCACACACAACTACCACCATATTAAGTATATCTAGGAACATCTCCCACTTTCTCCTACCTCAACACACATACACTGGGAATTCTGAAGAAACAAGTTTATTACCAGAGATACCAGCTCCCGTAAGTGCAAATTGCGCGAAACACTCAGGTTACAAGATGCAGCAGCGCAAGTTCGTACCGGAACCGGTGCCTCAGCGGTCTCACCACTCACGACTCGCTTCTCGCGGTTTCCGTTACTGAGCCAAGCGGGTAACCGGCGGCGCTAACGCGCAACCGGAAGTCCCGCCCTTCTCTCGGCACCGCTATATTACGTCATGTCACGCAGGGCGTATTCTTTTCACCCAATCAGAGTAGAGCTTTCGGATATGCAGGGGAACCAACGCGGAATGGGTAGTGATGGCTTGTGGCATCGGTTTTGGCATGCCGCAGATCGCCCTTTCAACCTGCATTAGATTTCTTGTTTATTTCCACCTTCTTAAAAACTTTTGCAAATTCTTTCGGCTTGAACCTTATATTTGTAAACATTGTTAAGTGGCTTTGAGTCCGTTGCGACTCATAGCGACCCTTTGTAGAGTATACCTCCTACCTTGCAGTTCAAACCGACCTTACAGTCCAGCACATTAACCTGCATAAGGTGACTTCACATTAGAACTCAAATAGAATAAGCATAAGGTCTGCCTTTGACTCGTTTTCTAGCTTTGAAACTGGTAGATCTAAGCAGAGGTTGCTTTGTACTGGTTGCTTTCTAGTTCACAACTCTTTCTACTACGTCTTTTCTACAGTTGTTAAGTAACGTGGAGTCGGTTCCGACTCATAGTGACCCTGCACAGGGTTTCTGAGGCTGCAGATCTTTACGGGAGCAGAAAGCCTCATCTTTCTCCCCGAACAGCTGTAGTGTCGAACTGCGGATCTTGAGAGCGTATACAGTAGGATTTGTCAGTTGCCACATATCTTGCCAACACTTTTTCATATGACGGCGAATTCTCAGTACCAATGTTTCTGTCAAATGTTTGAAGACAAAGCCTGGCTTCAAACGTCTAGGTGTTTCTTACAAACAGGAGACCTTTTCTGATCCCCTGCTGCATTATCAGTGTCTACAATGCCTTAGTCCTGGTGTGGCGCTGTGGGTTAATGCACCAGACTGCAAAGCCATTTGAACTGCAAAATTCGCAGTTTAGGCTCACCAGCTGCTCCTCAGACCACTATCTATACAGGGTTGCTATGGGTCGGAACCGACTCGACGGCACTTCACAACAACAATAATGTCTGACACAGCGGGAATTGAATGATTTGTTGACGATTGAATACTATAGTATTCACATAAGATTTAATGTTTGGACCATAATGATGGTGGTAGAGATTAAGACTAGGGGACAGAGATGAAAGCTATTTTAAGAGGTTAAAAATGATCAATTTGGTGATGGATTGGGATTTAGGAGAAATGAGGGGAAAGTCAATAGTCTTATTTTGAGCATCTGGGCAGACAGTAGGTCATTAGTGAGACTTTGTTTTAAGCACAACCATTTCTTGTCTGTGCCAAAAGTTGGTGCTTTACAAAGAAAAAGAAAATCGGTTTTTAATTAGATGGATTGACCAATAACAATAACAATGAACTCAAATGTAGGTGGCACAACATCAGGCCATGTTTTGACTTTTTATACTTAAGGTTGCCATGTGTTGGAGCTGACTCTGTGACAACAACATAAACAAAACCACACAGAGTTGTTTATCAAAACAAGAAAATTATAAAAGTGACAAGAACAAAGATAATTTTATAACTGAGTTGAATTGCTTAAGTTACAGTTGGCATAGTTTCCATATGGTGGTTTAAAATATGTCCATACATTCTTTGATACCCTTGCAATATTTGGAGTCAAAATCCCATTTCATTGGATTTAGAGACTAGTGAAAACAAGGCCAGGGGCAGTCTGTGGAAAAGACCATCAATTACTCATATGCAAATTCAAACTGAAGCTGAAGAAACTAAAAACAAGTCCACAAGAGCCAAAATATGACCTTGAAT